GTATTTTTATAATGTTTGTTTCTATTTCAATTTTCGGGAGTCATGTTGTTTTTTCTCCTTCAAATGTGTTGATTGTAATTGCGTGTTTAACTTCCAATAATAATATTTGCTTTTTTAATTATGATTTTGGTTAACTTCAATAACATTAATCTTAAAATATATGCACATCATAGCACACATAATGCTTCTAAGTATAATGGCATGTCTAACTCTCCACTTCAAATGAGTGAGACGTCCATATATGTATAGGATTAGCGCATAAGTGCATGTTTTCAAATTATATTTGCGTAGCACGTTAGCACTTAACAATCATTTTTCAATTATTGCATTGCTCTCATCCATCAAGATATTGCACTCTCCGAATTAATTAATTCTGAACTTATAGACAAAACACATTGAAAGATATCCTTCTTGTGGATAAGACTAAGAGAAAGAGTTCGGGATAAACTTGAATTATAGATGTGTACATTGAAGTCTAAAGGGCTTTGCTTAAGCAGAATTGAAACTGAATATATGGAAGGTAATTTTAGTAGTAGCTCTAGTAGCAGAGTTGTAACTACAAACGATCAAATAATTAAAATGTGTGAACGTTTTAGATATCTCGAGTCTATTATTCAAAGTGATAGTGATATAGATGGGGATGTTATTAGTAAAATCAAGTTGGTTGAAGTGGAGAATGCGTCAAGTCTATTGTGTGATAGAAAAGTACAACTTAGTCTAAAAGAAAGAATTTATAATATAGTGGTGAGGCTTGCAATGCTATATGGCGCCAACATGCAAAGTTGCGTGTTGCTGAGATTAGAATGCTTAGGTGGATTTAGTGACAGAATGCGAAACAAATATATCTGTTAATAGGGTTAGTGCAGCTCCAACTACATTAAACATCAAACATCTAATGATCCGCCTAGGAAAGTAGGTGTTTAAGATTCGACTTATGTTAAAGACAAAGGTAGACCTAAAAAGACTTAGAAATTTGTATATAAAATGAACTTAATCCATTAAAATTAAATGAAAGACTTGTTGTAAACAAAACAGTAATTAATACATCAAAATACGCCTATGACGCATAATTTATAGTTCAAGAGAGAAGCAACACAATTTTCAATGAATTTTTGAAAGAAAAAGTTGGGCAAGTTTGCATTTGCCAATTTGCACAATTTTTTTAGTAAACTAACTGAGCTACAGATATAGACGCTTACAAATTTAGGCTTTCTTAGGGAGTGTAACGAAATCAAGCTCACTCATGAGCCTGCTCGTACTCTGCTCGATAAGTAGCTCGTGAACTAAAAGCTACTAAAACGATCTCAAGCTATCCCAACTCAATTCGTTTTCAGCATGAGCGGGCTCCTTTAAAAAATAATTAATATAAAATATATTAAAAATATATTAAAAATTAAGATTTTATCTTTAAATTATTAAAAATATTTGAAAAATTAAAATTTACATTTATATCAACTAATTTATTATTATTTATTTTCTAATTATTTATTATATTTATTATTTTATAATAACACCAAGGTAAATTGATATCATTTTATCCCTTTCATAAGCTCGAACTCTGTAGAATTAACCTCGAGCTCGAAATTAATTAATTAATCAAATTCATGCTCAAATCAAAGGTAGCTCGAGCTTGAGTCAACCCATTTACAGCCCTAGCATTTTTCTACCTCATTCGTGTAAAATTACATATATTTCAAATATGGGGAATGCTTACCTTTTGATGCCTGCAGTGATCTGTCCTATAACAAGGAACTCGGCGGCCAGCTTACACCTGCTACCGGCAACTTGATGCAGCTTGAATCCCTGTAAGAGAATCATATTCTTTAATTATCTCAGTTAGTCTATGTTAATTCAAATATAAGTGTGATTTTGGGCCTTAATTCATTCAGCATTTCCTGTAAAATTACACAGAATACTGGTCCGCTGCAGCTTCAGTGGCTCCATCCCCAAAGAATTAGGCAAACTAACCAAGCTCATATATTTGTAAGTGATTTTAATCACTATTTAGTAGTCAATACAGGAAAGAGTAAAGAGTGGGAGCGTCAAATCGGGTTCACGGTCAGGTTCGGGTCATACTCAAATCACCTGACCTAATACCGATTTGAATATTAAACGGGTAAGAAAATACAACCCAAACTTGACCAGCCTTCAACCAATCTTCAATCTACTCACTCGAACCCAACCAATATAATACATAAAGCACAAGTATAAAGGCTATTCGGGTCAAGATCAGGTTAATTTTGAGTCGATTTCGGGTTAATTTCGAGTGGCAGATCTACTTCAAGTCAATTTCAAATTAGTAGGTTGATTTTTGAGTCGATTTCAGGTCAATTTAGGGTGGACGGGTCAAACCAAACCCATCCCAAAAAATAAAAAGAATTAGGATCCCAACGCGAACCCAACCTGAAAAGTTTTTGGGTCAACTTTAACTCACATTTTTTGAATCAAGCTCAAATCAATTTTTGACAACCATATTTCCTGTTCACAGAGGTCTTAACTCGAACCAGTTCATTGGAACTATACCAGCTTCATTGGGAAGCCTCTCCAATCTCGTCCGACTGGATCTGGGAGACAACCAGTTAACTGGACCTTTGCCTATCTCAAATGGGTCAGCTCCTGGATTAGATCAGCTCAAAAACGCACAACACTTGTGAGTTCTTACAGTCTGACATTGTATACATAGCACACAATTCACATGCATTTACATATCTCGCATCTAATTTTCATATTTACCGGCATAGCACTAAAACCTTTAATATCAAATATTGCACAATTACCGCCTTGTCATGCATGAGTTTAAAGCACCAAAGTGCTATGTATATGAATAAGAAAATTTAGGTGTTAAGATATGTAAATACATAATTGTGTGCTAGGTATGTAAATTTTCCTATATACAATGAAGGGAAAGCATGAACTTACTAATGAGAGTTCTGTATTCTTCTTAATAGTCATCTGAACAAGAATAGGCTTTCAGGTTCCATCCCAGAACAGCTTTTTCACTCAGATATGCGTCTCAGACACCTGTAAGCTCACACTCAATTTCTTCAATAGAAAGATGAAGTTTCCGGTTACTAAGCTCTGTTAAGTGCAGAATTTTAGATAGAAATCAATTTGTTGGGACAATTCCTGCTTCGATAGTAACTGCAACAAAACTTGAGATTATGTAAGTGGCAATGAATGTTACATAGCAGAAGTGTAAATCTATGTAATTTATTTAAGATTGATATATTTTTATTAGAATATTTTAATGGCTAGTAATAGTCACTATTTAATATTGATTATTCTCAGCTATTTTCTTTAATTTCCTTCATTTTTCTATTATATTCAGTTTTATTTCGTTCCCCTTCAATTATATCCTAAGTTTAATTATTTTTTTTTTCTAGTTGATCTTGTAATGGGTGTATATACCCCTCTTTGAATCAATAAAAAATATCTTGAGTTTTATGCTAACAATTTTATATACAGTCGTCTTGACAAAAATCAACTGGAAGGCATAGTTCCTAACAATATCAACAATCTTGCAAAACTAGCTGTTCTGTAAGTGGTTATTGTGAAGCAAGGGTAACATTTGACACAAGCTGTTGATATGAAGAGCTTAAAGCAGCCATTTGTTGCTATTTTTTCAGGAATTTAGCTAATAATGGATTAGATGGGCCTATGCCAAATCTGACCGGGATGAATTTTCTTAGTAATGTGTAAGAAGCTCTGATGACAATTTTTTTTGGGAAATTTACACATACCACACTTAGATATCAAACACATATTTATAGTTATAATATCTTGAAGTCATGAACCTATGCATGAAAATGTGTACTTATACTTTACTTTAAAAAGTTAATAATAGCAGTACTTTTGACGTCATATCAAAGATTAGAGTGTTACGTATGTAAATATGAAAGTTTAGGTGTTAGAATATGAATACATAAGAAATGTGTGGTATGTATGTTAATATGAAAGTTGTATTTATTTTGGTGAACGTAAAGAAAATATGGAAGCATGGCTATTTTTCATTCAGGGATCTTAGCAACAATTCATTTGAACCTTCAGAAGCTCCAGCATGGATTTCAGAACTTCAAAATCTTACCAATTTGTAAGTCATTGTTTATTCTCTACTTGAAATCTAGTTAGTAGACTTTGTTAATTGACTCTAAAATTGTTGCGGGCTTCAGGGCTATACAATCAGGAAGACTCCATGGTCCAGTCCCACAGAAACTCTTCAGTTTACCTAAGCTGCAGAATGTGTTAGTATATAGCGGCATTTACATACATACCACCCAATTATTATGAATTTGCATATCAACACCTAAAATTTTCCTTTTTTACATTTACACCACCCAAATCTTTCATATCAAAAAAATACCACCATTTTAATTTTAAAAAAAAAGTAAAATACACCATTCCAAGCTTGGACTGGGAGGTAAAAAGTAAAAATGGAAGTATAGGATTTAGATACATAAATATATAAGAATTGAGTGGTATGTAATTAAATCATCCAATGTGTGTGCGTGCGCGCGTGTAAAACAGTCTGATTCTTCTTTTTCTTTTACAGGATACTCAAGAACAACTCTTTCAATGGAACTCTAGATATGGGAAGCAACATTAGCAACCAATTGCATGTTGTAAATTTTGAAAACAATGCTCTTACTTTAGTGGTGCTAGGATCGAGCTATAATAATTCAATGCTGTAAGAACTACAAAAGCCAACATTTCTCATCTATTTGCATGAAGTTAGAAATCAACATTTACATGTTCCTCAAGACAAAAATAATTTTTTTTGCTTTATAACTTTATTACATAATAAATTCATTCTTCCTTGTCATTAATTTTTTTTAGTGAACATAACACTGATTTAGGCTAAGACATGCAAAATTTTTAAATGTAATGATTTTGTTTGACATATGCAAAAAAAGATTTTGAAAAACACAATTTTCTATTTACAAGCAACCAAATGAGCACTTAGAGCACATTTCAAATGCTACTTGGATCATTATAGTGTAACAATTTTATTGTTTTCTGGAAATTACAGGCTCAGTGGAAATCCTTTGTGTAGCAATATTCATCTCTTAGAAACAAACTATTGTCTCCCTCCTCAACAATCCCTACCAACCTACTCTTCTGGAATTAGAAATTGCAATGGAAGTTCATGTGCTACAAATAATACCTGTTCACATCCATACGAAGCAATTATCTTCTTTAGAGCCCCATATTTTCAGGATATTACAAATGACACAGCATTCTTACTAGAACAGAGACTCTGGATGAAATATGGTTCTTATGTGGGATCAATCTCTCTTAAAAATCCCTTCTTCAACAATGATACATATCTAGAGGTACAGGTAGCTATCTGCCCACTAATCCGAACCTACTTCAGTATTAGGGATATTCTTGAATATCTAGAGTTCAACAGCAACAATTTTTCAGCTTCACCGAACTTCGGGCCTTCTGATTTCGAAGCATATCCGTACACTTTTTCAGGTTAATAATCAATTTATATACAGCTTACAAATACTAAAATGTTATCTAATAGCATCCCTGGGTGTGCAATCTTTTGCAGAATCATCAGGTTTGAATTTAAGTTTCATAATAGGATTGGCGGTTCTCTCTGCTCTTCTTCTTCTAGGGTTTTCAGGTCTTAGTTTCTATGCCATAAAGCAAAAGAAAAGAGCCAAGAAGGTCATTGAATTGAACAACCCTTTCGGTAGGTTGTTCTGCTGTTTAGAAACAATTTTCTACAAGTAAATTTCGTTTTTGATGAAGCTATTTGCCCCTCATCATGTACTTAATTTATTTTCTTAACCAAATTTGATGAAGAGCTAGTTTTGTCGGTTATGGATAGAACATATGTTCTGATTTTACTTTTATTCATTTTCAGTATAGAAACAAATATATTTTAGAGGATTTCAATGGAGTTTGTGAGTTTAAAACCTATGTAGATTTGTAATTTTAATCAACCAAATGCTGAAATCTAGCATTTTCCTCAATTTTTAAAATGTGCTTTCTAACTTCAAGTAGCCAAATGGACCGGTGCAACTGGGCCCAAAGTCGCATTCAAACTTGAGGTTAAATTTTATCAAATTGTACAAAAATGCGAACAAATTATGACTCATTAGGGTATGTCTCGTATAAATCTATGTGGTATCAACAGATAAGATAAAAAAAAAGTAAAAACCAACAAAATCAAAACTGTATTAAAAACCAAATCACCTGAATCCAATTACAACTCAAGTATTTAATTTGGATTTAATTCATAAAAAAATTGAATACATTGAGACCCATTGAAAAGCTAAAATAAAACTAAAGTGTAAACAACATTAGATTGTGCTCATTCTTCAAATTATTGGTTATAATTTCAAACCAAAGGAAAATGTGAAATTACTTTTCCATTTGATTTCGGCTCAACAAAGCAAGCAGGTGAAAATTAATTTCAAGTCAATACTTTACCATTTTCATTTCCTTTTCCTCTTCAATAAAACAACCTTTCAACTATTCTCCATTTTTAGCATCCTGGGAAGCTAGTTTTAAAAACGATGGTGAAGCTCCTCAAGTAAATGGGGCCAAATCTTATTCCTTCGAAGAACTCAAGAGGTGCACAAATAACTTTCCAGAAGTAAATGTGATTGGATTAGGAGGATATGGAAAGGTAATTGTAGAAATTATGAATTGGATTTCATCAATCTGCGCTATCTATAACATCTTTATCCCTTACAGGTCTATAGAGGAATGCTTCCAAATGGTAGGATGGTAGCAATCAAGAGATCTATGGCTGAATCTACTCAAGGAGCTCTCGAGTTCAAGACTGAAATTGAACTGCTTTCTAGGGTTCATCACAAGAACCTTGTAGAACTTCTAGGATTTTGCTTTCAAAGGGGAGAGAGAATGTTGGTATATGAATATGTTCCTAAAAAAACACTTAGAGAAAGTTTATCAGGTATTATCTTAAACTACACAACGGAAATGATATTTTCTATGAACTTACCTTATCTCTTTGGAGCATTTACATATATACCACATAATTCTTATGTATTTACATATTTAACTAGTAAACTTTCATATTATAACATGAATACCACTAAAATCATTAACATCGCATCAAAAATACCACCACATTATCAAAGGTTTATAGAAGTGAAAGACACATTTCATTCATAGGTTTATGACACCATGATGTATAAATGTATATATCAGACTTGGGTGTTAGATATGTAAATACATAAGAATAGTGTGGTATGTACATGAATTTCCCCATCTCTTTCTATGCCAACACGTCTACTCTCTTCAATTAATAAACTGCAGGGGAGAGTGGCATTCAACTGGACTGGATCAGGAGACTTAGAATTGCTCTCGACTCGGCAAGAGGAATAGCTTATCTCCATGACCTTGCAAATCCTCCCATAATTCATAGAGACATCAAATCAACTAATATCCTTCTGGATGAAAATTTAAATGCTAAGGTTGCAGATTTTGGACTTTCAAAATTGGTATCAAATAGTGAAGTAGGCCAGGTCTCCACTAATGTGAAGGGTACTTTGGTAAGTATATATTTAGCTCAACCAAATACACTTAAAAAAGCCCAAACCCTTACGTGCTCCTATGTTAATTTGTACATCAATAATTTGCAATTGAGAGCCTAGTGGGAATGATGGAGAAAAGGGGGCGTTAAAATAGTCAAAATTCAAATCTCGCTTGATACTTATTTGAATTTTGACTTTATTCATAATCACCTCAAGTTATTTCGAGTTTGGTCACTTGTCATATTTTTTACTCAAAAAATGTTTCAAGTAGCTTTCGTACAGATTTCGAGTTTAAGATGGCTGATTGTATATATATATATATATTCTATCTAAAAATAAATAGGAAGTGAAACATAAAACATAATCATATTTGTTGTGTGATTTAATTCAAAAGTAATTTCAATTTGACTCAAATTTGAATTTGATTACATATAATTTCATGTGAGTTGCGTGTTAATAATTTTGAGCCAACTTTAATTGATTTTGAATCAGCTCATGATCAACTCATATTTAATGAGCCAGCCCTACTGGAATCTAAATTCAAATTTGAGTAAATTCATGTCAACCTAAAACTAACATTTTAGAGTTGAAGCCAGGCATCACTCCCTCAAACTACATGCTGCACATATAATAGTTGTTGGGTCTTATGATATACGGTAGATGATATAATTATGAACAACATTCAACCATGATTGACCATTGAGTTATTGATGGTATAAATTAATCATAAATGAGTCTAAAAACAATTGAGACGTTAACATGAAGCCTTATTTGTGCTTTCTCGATCAGTCTATTAAAGTAGCTGGCGGTTGAACCAAGTGGCCCCATTCAAGTAGACCTATGCTAAGAAAACCATTACATCATCATCAATTCGATTCTAATAACAATGCTTTTTACTGTTTTCAGGGCTATCTTGATCCAGAGTATTACATGACGCATATCCTCACAGATAAAAGTGATGTTTACAGTTTTGGAGTGCTAATATTGGAACTAATAACAGGAAATCCACCCATACAAAATGGAAAGTATATCGTTTCTATAGTGAAGTCAAAACTGAATAAGAATGACGTATATTATGGCCTGAAGGAATTAGTGGATCCTGTTATTAGACAAGCAACATATATTGTAGGTTTCAGAAGGATTGTGGAGTTAGCCTTAAAGTGTGTGGAGGAATCAGCAGCTGATCGACCGGCGATGAGCGATGTCGTGAAGGAGATTGAGATGATACTAAAGAAGGAAGGATTTGAATCAGTTTTGAGATCAACTTCAACAAATGATGCAGAACTTGCAGCAGCAATGGCTGGCTCTGTGATTCTGTATGATGAAAATTTGTCACACAAGGAAATAAGTGGTAGTTCTTTTGCATACAGTGGCAGTTACACTTTACCTATGAAGCTTGAACCAAAATAAGAGCTCATTTGATTTACAACAGCCTATGATTGTTTTGTAGCGCATGGAGAAGGCTCCTTGGGCAAATTTGCATATTTGAATTTTAGATATCAAAGTATATTCATTAGAAAAAGAAAGTTAGAATGAACAGATAGGAGATTTACGTACATTGGGCTATCACAAAAGCAAGCTAACTTGTATGGGATATCAACTTCTTTAAGAGCTCATTTGATTGTTTGTTGATATCATGTTTTAATAAATGATGATTTTGTTGTTATACACTTTGCAAAAAAATCAATGGTGATTTTGACGGTGTTGTAAGAGTTTAAAACAATTTCTAACAATATTGCAATCAAATATTGGTGCATATGTATATCATTACAAAATTAATGTGATGAGTAGTAAAAAAAGCAAAGAGAAACACAAATTTGCATGAAAAACTCAAGATGGGAACAATTACAAACACAGAAAAAGAAAATTCACTACTCATAAAGAAGATTACAAAGTGGAGCACTTAGGTTTGACGGTTGACTTTCTTCCATATATAACCCTAGTAGAACTATTTATACATGGAAATGTACAAAAAATCCTAATAAAATTCACCTTAAAAAAATACATAAAGGTCCATATCGCAAAGGCTGCCACCACCACTTAACAAATCAATATTGGGCTCCACTACCATCAGAAATCCGCCCAAATATTTTCCCATAATTTTAGTTGCACCATGAACTTCTCAATCCAAACCCAAACAAAATTCGAGTCACAAACTATTGACACAATTTTTAAAGTTTCTAGTATTTAAAAAAAAATTAATCTCCAAACCCAAACAAAATTCGAGTCACAAACTATTGATTTTTAAAGTTTCTAGTATTTTAAAAAAATTTAATCCAAGGGCATAAAATGAATCATCATTAAATAAATACTTTATTGAGCTCTTCATGAAGAACAACAAATGAGCATATTCATAAAAATGAATAAATGAGCTGGTAAATATTCAACTTATTTATTTAAATGTTGAGGATTTAATTTTTGTTTAAGTTTTTCAATTACTTAAATAAAATTATATACATGAGTCTTATATGAACGGGGATCGAGAAATTCATTGAGTGCACTAGTTCCATTGAAATCCAAGTGGTTGAAAAGCTTCATGTATGGGACCGGACTAAAAACAAAAAATAAAAACCAGGTTTGGTAGCTTCAGTCAACAACACCCGTGTTATTCACCGGTGAAAAAGCTCATCCGTCATAATGGAAAATGCTGTTTATCTAAAGTTTTTTGGCTTTTTCTAAGTGAGAATGTGAAAACTTAATCTCATGAAACGGAACAAAACAGGGTTATTAGCACAGCTGCACCTTGAGATATTTGTTTGACGAGTAAAAACCATCCAGATCATGTAAAATATACATGTCATGATGTGATGTTATATGCTGGACATAGGCAGATTAGGAACTTCGCTGAAGAACATCAATCCACCTTAGGAGTAGAGCACTGATTGAGTCTGATAGTCTTCTATAATCCTTATGAGATGTTAACATTGAAGTGATCATTAATCAAATGTAACATATTGTAATTTTCATAAGAAAAATTTAAGAAATTTCATCTAAACATGCATTAAATAACAAAGGAAACTTGCCAATACATTTATTGATGAGCAAATGGGGTTACACAAACCCTTTTTGTTACTTAAAAAAGGGGACTGAAACAAAGATAATGCCCCATGAGCATGGCTTGAAACTGGATTACATATCCTTTTTCTTTGTTTCTGCCCAATGAAAAATATCTAAGAAAGAACATTGTTGAATATTTACCCAAACAGTAAAACAAATAAACTGAAAAAAGCAAAAAAACATAATCAAGGCCTCAAAGAGAAAAGGATACTTCTTAGGAGGCCTTAATGTTAAATAAATCAAATGCAGCAGAAATGATAATAATACAGGTAAGACTAGTAACAACCTCCTCCTAAAAGAAATTTTATCCCATGTATGCTTTCCATTCTGACTGAAGAAAATAAGTCCGAAAAGTGCAAGAAGAACTGTATATTGCAGGATCAAATTATCCCGCAGTAGAAGAGGAAACATTGAAAGAAGGCTACAGTGTACTAACTGCCCGAAAAGAAATGGGTCTCGTTGTGCTAAAAGACTTGCAGATAGAAGCGGCATCAAAATTGATTTCTCATGAACTGACAAGATCAAGATGTAAATGAGAAAGTATTAAAGTTATGAACAAGAATAAACACATGAAGCAAATTTCAAAGTAATTTAGAAAATAAGAAAGGCAACAGGAAGTCATACAAACCTTGGTAAGAGAATAGATAAAAGGCAAATGAACTATTTAGAAGGCCATAAAGAAAACCAAGGTCACTTGGTGCTTTTATTTGCCAGTAGCAAGAAGGCCAACAAACTGAAACTGTAGTGCAGAGGCAAAGAAACTTCAAGGCGCCTATGGAAAACAATTTCTTCCATTTTATAATGACTGATGTGCTGCACCAAAAATTTGCAACATAGTCCTCGTATATGCCTCTCTCAAATGGAGCTAATCTATAAAGAACCTATATCACATCATGAAGAAAGTAATATTAAGCTTTTCAAAAGGAAAAAATAAGCAGGGTACACTCTGCACACGAATTCAAATTTACTCGAAAGAAATCATGTCTAACAAAATATATTGAAATCAAATAATATGCCTAAATCAATCTCTTGCATATCAGTTTATCAGGAATATGAAACAATAAGAGGATTCACATCAAAGGAGGAACATCAGGAAACCTCTATATTCACTTTTGGTAGTACCTCTTTTGCTGCTTCCATGGAATAAAGATAAGGCCACCAGATGATCAAAAATGTTCCAATAACCACAATGCCCAGCTTCCCAACTTCAAGGACCCAATTCTTCCGCTTCAAACATTTCCCTAGAAGATAACTGAAAAATGCAGGGGCATAGTACATGCTCATCTGTAAGCCAGTGTACATATGCAACAATCCAATTAGTTAAATAAATATAAGTACCAGGAAAATAATGAAGGACAAATGCTTATTATGACTAAACTATTTGATTAAACATAATTCTTGACTCTTCAATCGAACAATGGTTTATAGATGAGCTGTTTTCACCTTATATATGAAGTTCCACACCATAAACATGACCAAACGAGGCAACCTAAGATAAAATTTAAAATTGTGTTCTGCTGTGCATAATAGTCTAGTGCAAACATATAATCGTGCCTTACGCTGCATAAATTGATTGAAAATTTAGTAGTGAATGTATACCCAAAAAATATCTCAGTTCAACATCGAGTCAACCTGGCTGATTGGAAGAAATTAGTCTCATGAGTTAATCAGATTGAACCGAACCAATCAGTGACTTCATGCAGGTCCATTTTATATTTAAGAATCCTCAATTAATATCCCATGTAATATAAGAACTATTATCCGTCTCTATTTTATGGCAAGATTTTATTAAGCCATTTTCTATTATTTGTATACTTATGTGTGACAGTGTCAGGAGGGGTCTTTTCATAATGAATTAATTGTTAGAGAACATCTTTTCATTTATTTTCCTTCTTAAGAGTAATTTGATAATTAAAGGGTGTAAGAGTTTGGGATAGTATACCTATAAAAAGGGCATTCTTTGGTGAGAATAGAAATTCTTTTGGAGAAGTTTATTTCACGTTTTCCTGTGTAAGGGAGGATTCCCTGTTTTGGGGTGGATCCCCAAGTTTAGAGAGGTGAGAAGGGGAGGGGATCGTAGCGAGGTCAGGGATTTCTCCAAAATCGATCTACCAAACTCTCTCTCCTCCATAGTATTCTTGAATCTTTATTCTGCATTTCCTGTGGCTGTTTCCCCAACTTCTGGCTGCAAGAAGTCCAAAACAGTAGCAAAACACATTATTTCAAAATTGGCAACTATATTGGGGTTAGCGACCTCACCAAGAATGGTTTACCAAAGACCTTTAGGTTTTTTTTTTTGTTGCTGCCGATGCATTCGACCAATTCTCAATTGCAAAATTGGAAGTTCAATGCTGCGGTTTGTTGTCCAGCCAGTCCGTTTGGAAGAAGCCTTGATTCTAGATGCAAGAAGTTGTTCGCACATCAGCCAACACAAGTCAAAGGGTCTACACATGCATTTATTGGTGCAAGAAAGTCCAACGCTTAAGCTGCAAACACGGACATCACACACATTTCTACAGAGTTGAGGAATACGCGAGATCGAAATTAGTTCCAGAATCACGGCAGTCCAACGCCCAATTGCCTTTTTCTATTTATTTTTATTTCCTTCCCTTTATTTTCAGCACGTTTCATTCATTTGCTTCTTTCTTTTCTGGTTCTTTCTTATTTCTCTAATTTCTAATTAGGCCATTTTCTAGGGGAATTATTTATATGCATTTTTTTTTGCTGTTTTGGAGACTTTTGGCTTGTTATTATGTTTAGAGTTGTTATTCTTTATTTTATGTTCTCCTTGTATAATCTTCCTTTTGCAAGTGATATTTTTGAATCTTGCTCAACCGTTTCGCTGTTGACCTATTGTTTTCAGGCCGAACAGTAGCCGAACCGCTCAGATCTATCGTCCAACAACAGATTTCACCCCCTATCATCTTCCAAACACCGTCTACCCAATGTCTTCGGTTGGACAGCCGTCCAGGCTCGCTGCTACTGCCGTTTTACAGCAGAAAAATTGTTGTTCCCCATTATTGTTCGCTGTCTCACCGTCATCCATGCCATAAATTCAGCCGCTATCCACCCTACCTCTTCCATCACCCATCCTACAACTTCTCTAAAAATTGTGTTCTCTCACACCTTCTAGGAACCCTAGAATGATATTATCTAAAATACGAGAGCCCGGCAAATCTTAAATTTTAATGAATTTATCTTTCAAACACCTAAACAAAAAATTCATACAACCCAACTTGACACCGCCACCAAAAAAAAAAAAATCTCATTTCATCCGCCTAGCCCTAGTACTAACTATAACGTTAACCGTAAACCACAATTTTCTTTTCCGTCAAAACTTTCATTGGAAGAACAAAACATCATGCCTTCAAAGAAAAACCCCCAATGGGGTGTTCAAGAACTCATCATGGAAGATATGCAACGAAAAATTCTTTAACTGTAATAAAGTCTTGTTGCCTTTGAGAGGAGACGATTCAGTGAGATAACTCATAACGATAACGGTGACTTGTCAGATCAAGATTAGAAAGTGAATTCCTTCAACCATGTAGTTTCCAGGGATGAAAAAATAATATGTTGATGATTCGGCATAGAATATCAGAGAAGCAAGAATTTTAGAGTGAAGATTGACTTGTCGGATTTTGACGGTGGTATTGATTTAGAGTCCGAACGAGTTCATCGAGTGACTCCAGATAATCGAACAAATCTTCAATTATGAAGATGTTCCACCTGACTGAAGAGTCAAGCGAGCTACTATTAAGGATGAATGTTTCCTTGTGGTAGCAAAATTTTAAGTACTTACACAGTGAGAAAAAAAATAAAATCACAACTTGGTCCAGATGAAAAGGGAGATGCAACACAAGCACCTAACAACACACTATAAACAAGACGTGTTGTTGATATTTCATCATTTACAACAGTAAAATTTCTCAGTAGAGGATTACATGACCAAGTATGAGCAGCTTATGTTAATGGGTGAGCTTGTGGACCTTGGGGAAAATACCATAAGTTGATATATAGGGGGGGATTGTGATCATCCATTGACACTGTGATACAATTACAATCTTATTGGACATTAATGAAGGTTCAAATTCTAGCCCTCAAGAAGGAGAGACAAGACAACAAAATTAGGTTTACACCATACTTAAAACAAAATACAGTCATCGGATCATGCAGTAAGAGTACTCCAAGTGGAGCGCCCAAGCCGACTTTGCTTGAGGAGAAACCAATCCAGAGTAGAGAAAGAGTAGAGACAATAAGCACTTCCAAATTTGTCCCAATCAAGAAGTGCTTTAAGTGTTATAATTTTGGGCAGATCACATCTGATTGTTGAAACAAGAGGGTGATCTCTTTCACAAAGTAGAAAGCAGTGTGAAATATAGAGGAAGACACATGAGACACTAGAGAAGGTGAAGGTGTAAAAGAGTATCATCATCCAGCAAATTTGTCCCAATCAAGAAGTGCTTTAAGTGTTACAATTTTGGGCAGATCACATCTGATTGTTGAAACAGGAGGGTGACCTCTTTCACAAAGTAGAAAGCAGTGTAAAATATAGAGAAAGACACGTGAGACACTAGAGAAGGTTAAGGTGTAAAAGAGTATCATCATCCAGCAAACGAGAGAGAGATGCTCGTGATCTGATGAGTCCTTCAAATTGAGTCAATGAGAGAGAAACAATGGCTCCACCATAACATATTTCATACATGCTATACCGTGCAGGGAAATGCGTGTAGCCTCATTATAGATGGAGAAAATTATGAAAATGTGGCATCTATAAAGATGGTGTATAAATTGAGCCTCACAACTCAGAAGCATGTTCAACCATAATTGTTGACTAGGTTGAAGAAGGTGAGTAAGATCAACACTGACAAGAGATTTCTCATGGATATTTCAATTGGAGATAAGTTCAGGGAGCAAGTGTGGTGCGATGTAATACCTGTGGATGTCAGTCGCATTCTATTAAATGGTCCTTGGTAGTATGATCACTGCACACATCATGATGACTACAAAAACACATACTCTTTCACAAAGATGAGAAACTAATTGTACTCTTGACTTGGAAGGAGTATGAGGTGTTTTAAAATGTGATGCCACAAACTATCTTTTTATAGGTCTTAAGAGAAGCAACAACAGGCCTAACATTGACTATCCCAGAATGTGATGAGTTCGCTATGAGTGACACAGCATGACGTCACTTCATATAGAGATGAAAAAACTTTGAGCTATTTTTGGAAAGAGCTATTGAATAAGCTCGGTACTAAATTTTAATTCGGTTCAGCAACATTCCCACGAGCAGATGACCGAACAATAGTGTTGAACTACTAATTTAAAAATCGATGCAGATGTTTCATGGGAAATAACAGAAAATAGTGGGACCAAAGTTATTCAAGAGTAAAAGAAGAAACTTCTACTTCCTGCGGAGATTGATACAAACGTCAAGCCCATTTTATCGGTGTCATGAAAAAGGCGGGATTATGATTAATTTAGAAATCACGGGATCCCAGTTCCCGATTGCCTTTTTTATTTTACTTTTATTTCCTTTTCAATTGTTTTAAGCAAGTTTCCTTTCTCTGCTTCTTACTTTTCTGGTTCTTATCCATTCTCTAGTTTCTAATTAGGATATTTTTAGGGGGGTTTGTTTATATGTGTGTTTTTTTTTTTTTGGAGACTTCTAGCGATTGTTATTGTGTCTAAAGATGTTATTTCTTTTACAAGTGATGTGTTAGTATCTTGTTTAGGAACTGGTAGTGGATCTCTCTCGTTGTTTTGCCATCAACCACTATTTTGAGTCCAAACAACACCCAAAACACTCAAATATGTTGTCCAATATCAGATTTCAACCCCACAACCCCCACCCAATTCGGTTCAGC